CTAAGGGCTATTAGTCTTGTTTTCTTATGATGTTTTTTGTTTTGGTATCAGGGCAATCCTGGCCTCAGAGAATGAGCTGGGAAGTGTTCCCTTCTCTTCCGTTTTTTGGGAAGAATTTGTAAAGAATGATGATTAATTCTTTGAATGTTAGGTAGACTCCATTTGAGTCGTACCTTTTGGAGACAGGTGAAAACATAGAAAGTCCCGGGCCGCTGGGACCTTAGGCAGAGGCAGTGGAATCTGGGACACAGATCTGTCCTGATTGGTGGGCACGTTATTTTAAAACATTTGAACCAACTTTGGAAAATATATAGATATTTCACATAAAAATCCTGATGTAAAAATTCTCTAGAAAAGTCAGAATCTGGCAACACTGGCTCCTAATTATGCTGAGTCATGGTAAATGGCCCCTGGTCCCTCATTTGCCTCTGTCCCCTTCCTCCCATGTGAATCCTGACACCAAGGCTGAGTGTCCTGTACCATCTGTACCATATTCATTCCTGGACCAATTGATGTTAACGGCATGGCCACTGTACGTGCTTGAGTTGATGCTACCTGGTTACCTTTACCGAGTATTTGTTTGCTCATCTATAAAACGGGGACCTCGCCCAAGCTGGTTTGGCTCCTTGGATAGAGCATCGGCCTGCGGACCGAAGGGTCGCGGGTTTGATTCCGGTCAAGGCCACATGCCTGGGTTGCAGGCTCCATCCCCAGTAGGAGGCGTGCAGGAGGCAGCCAATCAATGATTCTCTCTCATCATTGATGTTTCTATCTCTCTCTCCCTCTCCCTTTTTCTCTGAAATCAATAAAAATATATTTTAAAAACACACACACACACAAAACAACAACAAAAACGGGGACATGAATAATTCTTACCATGGAAGATTTTGAGAAAGATTAGATAATTGTAAAGACATTTGGCATATAGGAGGCACTCAATAAATCTACCCTTTGCTTTTTTCCTGGCTGTATAGTATTCTATTTCATGGCCATACATAATGTGTAGCATTCCTCTAATGGTGGACATATATGTGGACTTCAAATGTTCCCTCTTTCACACAAGGCTGGAAAGAGCATCCATGTACATGGTATGCAGTGTTGCATGGTAGTTAAGAGTATATTAGCTCCAGTGGATTTGAATCCCAGCTACTGTGACCTCTTTGTACCTCCTCTCTTCTTAGAATGGTAGAGATGAGAGGATGGATGGGATGACCTCAGAATTCATTTGAAGAAATATCTGCAAATTTTTCCACAGGACTGGAAAGTCAAGGTGGGTGCAGGGGAAGCTGCAAGAGTCTTGAGGCCCCTTCTGCAAATGTGAGAGCTGGCGCACCCTATCTCAGGATCTCTCCACCCTAGGGTGTGAAGCCAAAGCCAACTCATTGCATCTGATAGACTGGCAGCTGGGGACATGAGCTAAGTGGGTGTCAGGCAGAGGGAGGGAGGTGTCAACCACAGAGCAAAGTGAGGTGAGAGCACTGTGGACTGGGCTGAGTTCCCCACCCTCAGCCCTGCCCTTAGAGTCCACACACAGACCCTTAACCCTCTGGACCAATGATGGACCCAGACCCCCTCCTGGACTCCTTCTCTGGTGCCCTTCAGAAATATCCATGCAACAAAGCTCCGTGACCCACACACGAAGCTGGCAGGTAGCACAGCTGGCTGGCCTCAAGACTGGCGTGGCAGTGGCTACAGATTGGAGAGTTTTTGAGGTTTTCAAAAAGGAAGTAAGGCTTCTGCCTGTAGTCTTATTCCTTCTCTTAATTACTTGACCAAGCCAGCCTGACACCTTGGCTATATCTTGCTTCCTGAACCCCCACCCAAAAATAATACGCCCTGATGCTTGTACATCACTTCCTATTTCAGCAACATCCAGCAAGCCTTCTGATAACTGGATGTAAGTTCCAAGGTCTGGGTCATGTTCCTATGGGCTATATTCCCAACAACTAGTCCAATGCCAGATACCTAGTTGGCAATCAAGAAATGTGTGAATGGCCCCAGCCACTTTTGCTCAATGGTTAGAGCATCAGCCCTTAGACTGAAGGATCCTGGGTTCAATTCTGGTCAAGGGCACGTACCTCAGTTGCAGGCTCGATCCCTGGCCCTGTTCAGGGCATGTGGGAGGCAACCAATTGATGTGTCCCTCTCACATCGATGTTTCTCTCTCTCTGTCTCTCCCCTTCCCTTCCACTCTCTCTAAAAGTCAACAGGAAAAAATATCCTCAGGTGAGAATTACCAAAATAACATATAAATAAATAAAAGAAAGAAATATGTGAATGAACAAGTGAGTGAATGAATGACAGGCCCTTGAAGTGCTTGTAGGGTGCCGGATGCTAATTCCACTTGTTCGTTTCCCCAGTCCTTAACTTGGGTCTCGTCCGTCTTGATTTTCCTGGGGGTCCTTTGGCTCCCGAAGGGAATCCAGACTCGACTATACCACAGTTGTGGCCCTTTTTACTTCATCGGTACCCCCTCCAGCAACTCTTCCCTGAGCTCTCCTTTCCCTCTGGGGATGTCATAGCCCCAACTTAGATTATGTGACTTTGAGTCGATCACTTTCCTTCTCAGAGTGTCAGTCTTCTTGCATGTAAAGCGGGGCTAATTGCATCCATTTTGCAGGGTCATTGTGCTGACTGAGGTAAACAAAGCATGTCGAAGTGCTTGGCAGGGTTCCTGGCACGTGGCGAGGGTGGAGCGCTTAGAGCAGTTATTATTGTGGTGTGGAGACTGGGGAAGACAGCATTGGATGAGACCAATGGTCTCCAAACAGGCGTTAATGCACAAAGCAATAAAACGGAACGTAGCCCTAACCGGTTTGGCTCAGGGGATAGAGCGTCGGCCTGCGGACTCAAGAGTCCCAGGTTCGATTCCGGTCAAGGGCATGTACCTTGGTTGCGGGCACATCCCCAGCGGGGGGTGTGCAGGAGGCAGCTGATCAATGTTTCTCTCTCATTGTTGTTTCTAACTCTCTATCCCTCTCCCTTCCTCTCTGTAAAAAAAATCAATAAAATATATTAAAAAAAAAAACAACCGGAACGTAGTTCGTCTCTAAAAGTGTGTGCTGCCCAGATTCTGGTCTCCCAAAGTGAGCCAGAAAGAGCCATCACAATTTAACACTTTTAGGAAGTTGACTTGCAGACACTCGCCTACCTAGGCTAAGACTGATGCCCAATATTAACAATATAACCCACACTGGTCACGTGCTTGCTATGGACCAGAGCCCGATGTGAATGATCTTGAGGGATCTTCAAAAGGACCCTGTGAGGCAAAAACTATTATTATCCCCATTTGACAGATGAGAAAAGAGGGACAGAGAAGTTAAATGACTTGCCATAAGGTCACAGAGCTAGGGTTAAATCCAGCAGAGCTAATATTCTTAACCACGCTGCATATTATCTCTGAATGGAGGTCCTTTCCAGTCCTGTGTGGAGCAGAGAAAAATTGGAGTCCACCAATAGAAGAATGCTATCTATTATGTCCATTCCTGCAAAAGAGTACTACATAGTCAAGAAAAAGCAGGAGGCAGCCCTAGCTGGTTTGGCTAAGCGGATAGAGCATTGGCCTGCAGACTGAAGGGTTCCAGACTCAATTCTGGTCAAGGGCACATGCCTGGTTGCAGGCTTGATCCCCAGGAGGGGGTGTATAGGAGTCAGCCTATCAATGATTTTTCTTTCATTATTGATGTTTCTATCTCTCTCTCCCTCTCCCTTCCTCTGAAATAAATTATATATATAAAAACCAGGAGGCAGATGTCTGTGTTCTGGCATGAAATTATGGCCATGGTAGATTGCTGGATAGGAAAAGCTGAAGAACAATATGCATCGCATAATTCATTTTTATCTAAAGCAAAATTTAAAAGTCCATCTGCCTGTTCATAGGTTCATAGACAAATGTCTGGAAGAATAAAGACAAAACAATTCCTTTGACCACTGGGAAATTGTGGAGGGGAGCTTCCATTTTTTAAAATCTCTATTTGTTTTATATATTCATGACTCACAAGCATGCATTTTTCTGTGTTCTTGAATTACCTCTTGGGGCATCCACACTCTATCCGGATTAGAGAAAGGATTTCCAGGAGAGGGAGATCAGAGATGGGACAGGAGCAGGAAGACGTGTGTTGCCTCCTGCCCTCTCCTCTGTGAGATCAGATTCCCGCTGTCTTCTCTGTCTCACCCAGGATCCTTCTGTTGCCTGCTCTCGTCTCTGCCTGTTCCTGTCCCTGCTGTCACCTGTCTTCCCTGTCATCATCACTGTCCTTCTCTGTTTCAGTTGGGCCCCGTCCCCAGAAGGACCTCAGCTCCAGCCTCTGAGCCCTCTCTGTCCCACTCTTGCTCAGGGTTCTCTGAGAACCAGAGAGCAACCCCCTCCTCCTCCTCACCCCCAGACACTGACATTTCAGTGGCCCAGCCCAGTTCACAGTGGCCCAAAAACCACTTTCTTTTTCTTTCTTTTTTTTTTTTAAAAGCTCATGGCTTTCTTTTTTTTTTTTTTTTAATATACTTTATTGATTTTTTACAGAGAAGAAGGGAGAGGGATAGAGAGTTAGAAACATCGATGAGAAAGAAACATCGATCAGCTGCCTCCTGCATGCCCCCGAGTAGGGATGTGCCCGCAACCAAGGTACATGCCCTTGACCAGAATCGAACCTGGGACCTTTCAGTCCACAGGCCAACGCTCTATCCACTGAGCCAAACCAGTTCGGCCCAAAAACCACTTTCAATGAATGACAAACACATGCATTTGGACGGAGTACATCTCTATGCCCGTCATTTTATTATTCAGTCTACGGAGAGCGTTTGCTGCACATAAAGCACCTCTGACCCCTTGTAATAACTTGGTGTCCCTGAGGGGGCACTCAGCCACCAACTGAGAACCACTGACTGAGAGCTGAAACGTGACCTGAAAACAGGAAGGGATGCTCAATACATCCCTAACGTGTTTCCAAAACAGAAACAAAACAAACGAGCAACCATCACGGTGTCCTGTAGAGTGGCCACGTGTAGATAAAGGCTGGTGGGCACCCCCCACACACACACTTGTCAGATCTCACAGGCCCCAGACTGCCTGCCTGCCCCCTTCTTCCTATTTGTGGCAAATAAATAGGAAGTCAAATGTAGCACCTTCCCATCAGCTCTTGCAGCCACTGGGGCTTCAGCCACAGGCAGCAGCTGCCCCAGCCGCCAGCCCTCCCCCACTTCCCCAGCCAGAGGGGACCGCAGAGCCAGGTGAAGAGCCTCAAGCAGGAGGCCCTCCGTTGGGGTGTTTGCTCTGAGGCCTGGGCAGGGCTGGAAGGAGTTGGGGAGGAGGGAAGGAGTCTGTGCTTTGGTGGGCGCTGGGGTGCCCAGGAGCACGTGGGGTAAAGAGGGAAGGGTAGTTCCTGCGGGAGGGGAAGGGGAGGGCCTTGGGACATGTGTTGAGATCAGGTGGCCCGTGCTTTGCGACCTTCAGTGAAAGATGGCAGAGAAGCGAGGAGATGACTGAGCAGACAGCTGAGCTCAGGGCATCTTCCTGGCAGCCACGCTCTTAGACAGACCCTGGTGAGAGAGCTGAGGGGGCAGTCTGGGTGGCAGGGCTCTGGGACCTCCTTAGCGCCCAGAAAAGCTGTGTGGATGAGCGGATGCAGGGGCTCTGCTTGGTGGACAGTTTCCCTTGGCGGGGAGCCTGTGGTGAGTAGTCATGGAGTCATGAGTCCCTCCCAGCATGGAGGAGAGTGGCTTCCCAGTTCCCTGTGGCCCCAAGGAGTCTGGACTATTCCCTCAGATCTCTGAGCTCACTTGTGAATAACCTTCATGAAGACCCTCCTCTCTCCTCTCTTCCTCACTCCTCACCTCTGATTGGCTAGTCTCCACTAGAGCCTCTTCCCGATCCTACCAGGAGCACATCATTGGCTTCTAAATGTCAGCCCTGAGAGAGTCCTTACACATCAAATAGTCCAACCCGCCCATTTTGCAGATAGGGAAAATGAGGCCGGGAGGGCAGTGACTGGCTCAAGGTCACATGATGGTTTAATGGGAGAGCCAGCCCTGGAAGCCATGCCATTTGGAGGACCTTTACTGCTCACCTGTGACTGACTTGTCTTCCCAGCAGGTAGTGGTGGCATGAAGGGGGGACCTGCTCCAGAATTGGGTTGTTGCCACAAGACCGAGCCCCTGAGGAGCACAGGGAGTTCCCTGTCCCCCAGCCTGGACTTCCAGTCCTGCCAAGACGACCAGGTGAGGTGGAATCGCAGCCCTGCTTATGGAGGGAGGGGACGTTAGGAGGAAGTGGGGGAAATCTGGAGGGACCTGAGTTCCTATTGTCCCCTGGTCCTGAGCACCCCTGCCCCAGTGCATCATGGGGATGGGCCCTTGAGGTGCCAGACACCCTCTCCTGTGCCCTGGGGGCCAGACTCTCCTGTGAGCCTTGAGAAAGGGGCAGGGCCACTGGAGGCTTGGGTGTATGATTGTGGCCTTGGCCTTAGGGCCCATCTTGTGGGGTTTGCCATCTTCTTTGTTGTTGTTAATCCTCACCGAGGACATTTTCCCATTGATTTTTAGAGCGAGTGGGAGGGAGGGGGAGAGACAGATTGAGAAACATCGATGTGAGAGAGACACATTGATTGGTTGCTTTCCACACTCGTCCCAACTAGGGCTGGGGATCGAGCCTGCAACCGAGGTACATGCCCTTTATTGGAATCGAACCCGAGACCTTTCAGTCTGTAGGCCGATGCTCTAACCTCTGAGCCAAACAGGCCAGGGTGGGTTTACAGTCTTGATGAGGATTTTCTTCAAGTTGTCCTTGGTTCCATTCAAAACAGAGTAGATGGTCTGAGACATGGTGGGACCAGGGTGGTTAGGAAGGGAGGTGGGAAGAATGCTAGGTAAGGGGCTCTAGGGGCAGCGGGAAGGTGATCCTGGGTAGACATGAAAGTCCCCGGGGAAAGGACTCTCTGAGTGAGGGAAAGGGAAGCCATTTGACTGACAGATATGGTGAGGGTGAGTGGCTTTTAGCTTCTCCTCCTGCTTTGGAAACCAAACTAGGGGTGGGATCATCCCAGGGACCCAGGAGTCACAGCCCCCAGCCCCTTGCCCCCTGCCCTCCAGGTCTTCCCAGCCTGCAGGCCGCTTCCAGACACAGTGGACATCCACGGCCCATCCTGTGCCAGTTGGCTGTGCCCCCTGCCACTGACACCAGCCAGGCCTGCCCTGTTGGCCTGCCCCCGGAGCCTGGATCTCTACCTATGTCCCTGCAGCCGGCACCCCCGGGCACAGCCCCACAGGGCCTCAGAGAGGACTCCCAGAACACTAGTAAGTCCAGGCCCCAGGGCTACACTTGGTGGAGGCTGAGGTGGGGGCGCTGTTAGACTTCAGGGTGGAAGGGGGAGGGGACCCAGTGTCACTGGTAAGGACAGAGCCTCAGGCACACTTGATGAGCACACTTTGGCCTGGAGTCCTGACCTAGGGGTGCAGGGGGCTCTCGAGGTGGTGACACCTGAGCCAGAGGAGGTGGGCAGTGGGATCTGGTGTAGGCTGTGAGGATGGCACCTGCCCGCCTCTTTGAGCCAGAGGAGTCTTTATCATGAGTGAGGGGCACTGACTGGGAGTTGGGGTGGAGTCCGGTGCTGCTCTTTTAGCGCAAAGACCTTGGGAACATCAATGAGGCCAGTTTCTTCTTCCATAAAAGTCAGCTCTCACTATCCCTATGTTCTAGGCTTGTTGCATTTTAATACACCATTCCCGTAGGCCAGGGGTCCTCAAACTTTTTAAACAGGGGGCCAGTTCACTGTCCCTCAGACCGTTGGAGGGCCGGACTATAGTTAAAAAAAAAACTAGTCAGCTGTTAAGCAATAGGCAGCGGTGGCAAAAACACCCGGCGGGCCGGATAAATGTTTTCGGCAGGGTGCATGTGGCCCGCGGGCCGTAGTTTGAGGACCCCTGCCTTAGGCCACTGTGACCTCCTGGAGGGCAGGGACTGTGTGGTTGTGTCCTTTATCCCTTACCCCCACCCCCTGTAAGAGCACGGAGCAAAACAGCTCAGTATAAAGCTGGTTGAGTGAATGAATGAGAATTCAAGCAGACCTACGGGAATGGTGTATTAAAATGCAACAAGCCTAGAACATAGGGATAGTGAGAGCTGACTTTTATGGAAGAAGAAACTGGCCTCATTGATGTTCCCAAGGTCTTTGTGCTATATTGTGCCTATATTATAGTTTTTACTTCATATCACTCCTGATTAGCTCCTACCTCACTGTCTGTTGTATCTCAGTCCCCTTGCAAAGCTCTTCTCTACTTACCTCCTAAATATTCACCTGTTCCGGAACTCAGTCCAGAGCCCTCTTCCCTTCCCTTCTCTCCCTCCTCCTCCCCTCCTCTCCTCTCCCCTCCTCTTTCCCTCTGCTCTCCTGTTCTCTTTAGAGTGGCCTGTGTGCTAGGACCTCCTGCGATGGTGGAAATGTTCTATGCCTGTGCTGTCTAATATCATACCTCATACCTGCTGAGCTTTTTTAATGTGGCTAGTGCCACCGAGGAGCTGAAATTTTTATTGTATTTATTTTAATTAATTTCAGTGTGGACACATCTCAGGTGTCCATTTTGGACACAGCAGACCTAGTGTCATCCTCAGGTGATATCATCTGGGCCCCAGGCACCCAAATTTATATCTCCAGCTCAGACCTCGCCTTGACACTCCAACCGCCCACTGGACTGCTCCACGTGGTGTCGAACAGGCTTCTTCAGTGGTTTCCTCTTCCTAGAATTGTTCCGCACTGCACCAACACTGGCCGCTTTTCTTGGCAAGTGTGATTGCAGACAGGAAAGTCCAGCGAGAGGAAAGGTCTTGTCCAGTCGCCAACTCCAGGGGGCAGGCTAGATGGGAGCAGCACTTTGGCCCAGCCTGTGGGGCCCTGACTGGCTTCCCTTTCCTTCTCAGAGCGCCAGTCACCAGGGCCACATGCCAGCTCCACTGATGACGACAAATTCACAGCCACGTCCCATCTGAGCAGGGATAAGATGGGAAGCCAGCAGGAACGAGCTGATGAGGAGGCCCCCTGCCCGTCCTTCTCTCCCCACAACAGCTCTTCCCCAAACCCCTGGCAGAATGGAAAGTGCTCCAGCTCCTTGGCTTTCTGCTCCTGCCCCCCACCCATACCCATCTCCAAAGAACTCCCATTCCTCCTTCACCCCCTCTGCCCTGCATATCCACTCCTCCTGCCCCCACCTTATCTGTTCACCTATGGGGCCCCTTCTGTCCAATGCCACCCTTTCTTCATGTTGCCCCAAGATACCTCCTACCCCACCAGGGCTCTGCCCAGTGTGCTGATGAGTGTCAGTGAGCCTGGGCACCACAGCTCCTGGGGGGAGACCCTGCGTCCCTACCCAGGGGCCTCTCAAGCCTCTGTTCAAATCCCACTGTCCCAGGCCTCGATTCCAGGCCCTGGAGCTGCCAGGACCTACTCCCCAGCGCTGGAGCATGCTGGCAGGGCGGCTCCAGCAAAGCGGGCCCCACTGGGCTCCCACGCAGCCCTGCCTTACCCGCTGAAGAAAGAGAATGGCAAAATCCTGTACGAATGCAACGTGTGCAGCAAGAGCTTCGGGCAGCTCTCCAACCTCAAGGTATCGTCCTCCTGGGCTCCAATGCCCTCCCCCAATCCCCAGCGTCCCAGCATCTTAGGTGAATTTAGACCTTGATTTCGGTCTCTCTCAGCATCTAGTGCAAAGTCCTTTCCTGAAAAGCCATTCTTTCTAGATTCCCAGTTATATCTCCTCGTGTTTGTTTGTTTGTTTGAAGTTCAGTGGGCGAAGGAGTAGAATCGCAGTGAGACCCATAGAACTGAGGACCAGCCTTTGTCAAGTGGGATCTCACAAACCAGCGCCCAGTACCGTTGGCGTCCACCAGGGGGCGACCATGGGCACACCTCCATGTCAGCAAAGATGAGCGCTATGCATAAGTTGGCATTGCTGAAGTTGAGGAAAGGTTATGATTATTGAGGGAGATGCCTTCTTGATCCTCAGGCATGAGTTCCCAAACTTTAATGAGCTTCAAACTACCAAAAGAGCTAGTAAACATGCAGATTCCTAGGCCCCAGCCCAGGGATTCTAATTCAGATGGTCAGCGTGGGTCCTGAGAATCTACATTTTTAATGTTTTAATGTACTTCCGGATGCTGCTGATGCTGCTGGTCTGTGGACCACTCTTTGAGAAGCACTGCTCAGGAGATACATTACCCCTTACCTGGCCTTCTGACCACTGCCACCTCCCTCCCTCAGGGCAACAGAGAGGGGATACCTGGGGATGGAAGAGAGGCCCTGAGCGGGGAGTGACAGAGAGGTGAGGGGCTTGAGAGGCCTTGATGCCAGAATGAGTTCCTGTGGAGATGTGGGTAGAGGTTCAGAGAGGACCCCAGGCCCTGCTGGGGCTCTGGGCAGTTGGCAGCATTCCTTCCATACCTGGCTCAGGTCCATCTGCGTGTACACAGCGGGGAGCGGCCGTTTCAGTGTGCCCTGTGCCAGAAAAGCTTCACCCAGCTCGCCCACCTGCAGAAGCACCGCCTGGTGCACACTGGGGAGCGGCCCCACAAGTGCCTGGTGAGACCCTTCTCCCCTCCTGCACTCCTGCAGGCAAGTGAGGAAGGAGTTCCAGACCCCTGGGGGAGGGCCCTGTGGCCTCCATTCCCAATCCTCCTGAGATGAGGGCGGGGCAGGGAGGGAAGGGGAGGAGCATGAAAATGACCCCTCTGAGCTCCGAAGGGCCAGGAAGTAATATTGGAGGTCAGTCCTGGGGTCTGGGGTGGGGAATAGAGGTGCAAGTCTGTGCGGGGAGGATAGTAAAGTTGGGGGTGGATACCTATTACCTTCTTTCCAGTGCTGCTGGAGAAGTTAATGGCAGAATGTGTACAACGCACACAAACACTGCATATAAATATCATCAGCCCCAGGTTGGCTCTCTCCCTCTTTGAGCCTCCGCAGTCCCCACTTGGGAGCTCAGAAGGGCAGGGACTCTTGCCCTGTTTTACACAAACAGAAAGGAAAGCAGCACAGTGGCTGTGAGTCTGAGCCACGTGGGTTCAAATCCTTGCTCTGCCTCCAACTTGCTGTGGGGCCTGTGGCCAGTGGTCCACTCCTCTGAGCCTCTGCTTTCTCACTGTCGTATAGGGGTTGCACTAGTGCTTAGCCATGCTTCCTCAGGGTCCTGGGGAAGACTACGTGAGACCAATTCCTAGCATGTGGCTGCTCCCAGGAAATGTTAATTATACCCACGGAAGCGGCGGCCCCACTCGTAAAGGTCGCATGTGATTATCTCATTCAGTCTATCATACCGATGAAGTTAAGTATTAACAGTCACATGTTACCAATAAGGCGGACAAGGCTCAGAGAGCGGAAGTCACCTATACAAGGCCATGCAGGGAATAAAAGAACCAGGATGCCAACCAGGTCTGCCTGGTCCAATGTGCCAGACACTGTGGGTCCCAGGGTGGAATCCTGGGGTGGTGTGTGTGTGTGTGCCAGGGGGAGGGGGGGGCAGCTTAAGAGTCTGTATTACAGGGAAGCGGGGAGGGAGTGGGGAAGGGGAGCAGAGATCCTGAGCCAGCTTGGGGGGCACAATTGATGCCAGTGCTCATTCCCATCAGACGTGCCACAAGCGCTTCAGCAGCTCCAGCAACCTCAAGACGCACCTGCGCCTGCACTCAGGGGCCCGGCCCTTCCAGTGCAGTGTCTGCCCGAGTCGCTTCTCCCAGAACGTTCACCTGCAGCTGCACCATCGGCTGCACGCTCCACTGCCCTGCAGCCTGGCTCATACCCACCTACCTCTGGCATCTCTCACCTGCCTTGCCGGGTGGCACCAAGGGGCACTAGATCTTGTGATGGTGCCATCAGAGAGGCAGGTGGGCCAGGAAGCTGACAAGATTAAGGTGTCCTCAGCATCTCAGGGAAAGCAAGGGCAGCCAGCCTGAGCAGTGGTGTCAGGACTGCTCTGGGGAGGGGCAGGGGCAGAGCGATTAAAGGATTTTCTCTATAACCAGCTGAGGCCTCTTGAGCTTCAACAGTGGAGGGGAAAGCCGTCGTGTATTTGCCAGACTTCACAACTCACCTGCGGCAGGTCAAGACAGGCAGGAAGAGCCTGTGCTGCCCACACATGGAGTGGGTGCCTGCAGTCACTACCTGAGGCTTGGGTTTGGGTTCTGCTCCCTCTTGGGACCAGGTCCTTCATCTCGGCTCACCGATGGACAGTCCAGCCTTCCTGGCCTCTGCAAGGTGCAGACTGTGCTGCCAAGAAGGGGCACGTTGCTCTCTCATCTGTCCAGATGTCTGTCTGCTGTTTCCCACCGCCTCTTGTCTTAGTTCTTAGGAGGCCACGGTGCCCCTCAACTGGTTACTCCCTGCCATGCATGGCCTGTACATGCCAAGATTGAGCCCCCTGTGTGGGTAGATGGGCAGGAACACAGGATGTCAGTGTCCACCATGACCCAGAAGCATGATGTCCCATGTGCCAGGACCAGTCACCACAGAGGGCAAAGGGCTAAGGAGTGCTGGGCTCTGGGAAGGGGTAGAGGCCCTGCAAGGACTATAGGCAGAGAAGAACCGGCAAAGAGAGCCTGAGGAACTGGGACCCTCCTGCTGGCCTTTCTCTCTGCAGTCCTAGAGGATCCCCTCAGTGTCCCCTACCCGCACTCGAGAGTTACAGAGGCAGCAGCAGGTGGGAAGGCAGCAGCTGGGAGGCAGCAGGTCCAGGCTATCTCACAGCAAACAGTGGCTGTAATTAAACAACAATGGCTGGACAGCTTCCAGCAGGGCGCCATTCCCAACCATGTGGGTTTCAGAGCGGTTTCCCCAGGGGTCCTGGTGGAGATTATGGCTGTGTCCATCTCCAGGACAGAGAACCGGAGAGCCCACCACGGCTGACAAGGGCAGGGTCGGCTTCAGCCCCCACCGGTAATCAAGGTCCCGGTTCCAAGCCCACCCACCCAGTCACCGCTTTGGACCCCCGCCAGGTGACAACCACGGGGTAAGGCCCCGCCCAGTCGACGAGACCACGCCCATTCCAGCACACGGCCCCGCCCCTGTGTTCTAGCCCCTCCTTCGCGGGGGAGGGAAAGACCCTGCGCTCAGCCCCGCCCCCCTGCCCAGCTCACCCCGATGCCTATTTCCCCGCCCTCCTCGTGTAGACCCCGCTTGGGGGGTGGCGGGACCTGCGGGCCCTGGCGCCCCCAGGAGACCCCGAGGCGCGCGGGCAGAGCCTGGGGGAGAAGGGGCTCTGTCGCCGGGTCCGGGCGGCCCCTACAAAGCGCACTCGCTGCCCCCGGGTACGGGCAGCACCTGGGTGGGTCCCCGCCGGCACGCGGGCGGGCGGGACCGCTGTTTGCTCTGGGGGCCGGGCCGGAGTAGGCGGTTCTCCGCAAAGAGCGGATCCGGGTGGGCCCGGCGGCCCGAAGCGGTCAGGTGCCCCGACGTCCCGAGCCCGGGGCCTTGCCCTCGCCATGGCCGAGCGGCGCGAGGGCCTGGGGCTCCGCCTGGTCCGTCGCCTGGCCGGGCTAGGGGTGCGCCGGGGGAAGCGGACCCCGGAGGAGGCCAGAGCCCGGGATAGGTGAGGGATGGAGGAGGGCGCGTGGGTGCTCTCGCGCGTGTGTGTGTGTAGCTGTCTGTCTGTCGGAGAGTGTAGTAGATATTAAAATACGCGTATGTGAGATGTGAGTGTCTCGGAGCATAAAAATGTGTCGATTTTGGATGTGTAAATGCGAAGACGGCCTTTATAAAGTCCCTGTGCTCTTTGGAAACTTTAAAACACCTTTTGCAATTTCCTTAAGTCAGGCTGCTTTAGCTTGACCTCCCTCCCATCTAGCCGCCTGCAGACAATTTCTTTACGGAGGAGAGTAAAGGCGATGCATGACTCCTTCCGCCTGTGTGGACTTTGATTCCCACATAACAGGCCAGTTCCCTCTGGTCTTCCTGAGCCTCTGTTAGGAGTGTGACCAGCTCCTGAGTTGTCTTGGGCGGCACTGCACTTGCCCTTGTTGCCATGGCGAGGTTTTCCCTGTCATCCCAGGTCGCAATAGCAATCAGCCTCTCTTTGCCACTTGCTTAGTGCCTCACTTGAATGATCTCATTTAATCCTTACAGCAGCTCCATGAGACAGGTGTTCAGTGTGATTCAGACGTGGAAATGGAGGTTCAGAGAGGCAAAGCGCCCTGTCCACCACACGACTGGGGAGTGGCGGGGCTGGAGGACAAGCTTGGGCAGTCTGACTCCAGAGCTCACATCCTGAAGCCCCGGCTGCTCTGTTGCCTTGAGAGACTGAAGGCCTGCAAGCCAGGGGGCCAGAGTCTGTCCTAGCCTCGCTGCCACTGGCCATGTGACTCGGAACAAATGACTTCTCTCCGAGCCCCTTTGCTGGCAGCTGATGTTTGAATGGGAGGAAAAAGGGGCTGTGTATGGCTAGGAGCTGGAATCGAGGACCCCAGTAGTTCCTGGGCCTATATCCCAGAAGAGGGTAGGGTGTTTGTGTATCTGTACAGTTCAGTTACCCAGCAATTTGTTCTGATCTTATCATGACACAACTGTTTTCAGCTCACCTTGGGAGGAATGGGGGCGTGGTGGAGGCAGAGTGAGGGGAAGGGTTTGTACTGCTCTCTCACCCCAAAGAGAGAGGGGAGGGGCAGGGAGGGCCTAGCACCCTATGCTGGGAAGCCTGAGTGAGCTGGGGGGGTGGTGCCCACACCCTGCTAGTGCCATGCCCTACCCCGCTGGAAGACACGCCCTCTCCCTTTACCCTGCCTGGCAGAAACCTGCCCTATAGGCCCAGGTGGCTCTGCCCCTCCCTTTCCCCACTTGAGAGGAGGTGGGGTTGGGGCGTGGGTGATTCAGCGGTGTGGAGGGCAGGGGAGGGACTGCGGAGGCTCCTGCAGTAGCATGATGACACATCCCATGTATGCACTTGGATTCAGTTCTCACAGTTGTGAGAATGGGACTGAGGCACAAGCCTCCGATTCCTGCTAGTTTCCCGGGGTGGGGGTCAGAGTGCATGGAGGAGGCAGCCAGCAGCCAAGGCACATCCTCATCTTGCCCCCCATTCATGTGGTGATGTCCAACCAGCCTTCGGAGTAGGATGGTCCTAGTGTCTTACTCCCAAGGCTCATTAGTCATGTGATTCTAGGCTTCACCTCTCTGGCCTCCGTTTCCTTACCTGAAAAATGGGGCACTAATATCCACCTCTTAGGGTTATTGTGAGGCTTAAGGGAGATCATGTAGGCACAATACGCAGTGCTAAGCCTGGCATAGGGAGTGCTTCAGCAAATGGCGAGCTTTTGAATTACAGGACACTGTCGCTTTTCTGTATTCTGGCCCTGATACAGGCCTAGTCCCCACTTTTCTCCAAGCCCAGCCCTCTTTCTCTGTCTCTGGGGGTGGAGTGGACAGTTGAGGAAGGGAGCAGAGAGGAGGCTGCTGTACAAGCTTCCCCTTTCCCCAGATTTCAGGAGCTCATCCAGGCTGTGGGCTCTGAGAGAAGTGAGAGAGGCTGCTGGGTCAAGCCTTGGGGTGGGAGAGGAGAAGGCTACCTCACTCCCTTCTCCCTGTGCTTCCTTTTCAGGCCCTGGGGTGGCCAGAGTTGCCCTGACCTGGCCCAAGGCCAGGGCAGCACTAACAATGTCAGCCTCAAGGTAGGAGAGAAGGCAAAGGGGAGGCCAGGAAGGGGTTGGTGGGGGAGGGGCAGGCCCTGAGAACCTTGACTCATAAGTCAGGCAACTGGGGTTCTCTAATCCTCCCTTTGTCACTTATTCACTGGGTGAACCAGGGCAGATCACTCCTCACCTCTGAACCTCAGTTTCTCCATCTGCAAAATGGGAACAATAATGCCTCTCAGGGCTGCTGTGAGACAGGAGGTAATGGATGTAGAACATGCAGCATGGGGTCTAGATGCTCAGGAAACATGGGCTTCCTAATGCCGGGCCCCAGGGAGGCATGTAGGGTCTCCGCCTGTTCCCAGGACCCCCTTTTCCACACTTCCTGCTTTAGCTTGACCTCCCTCCCATCTTTTGTCCTTTTAACCCACTTCCTGGCATGGACCCCCCAGGGGTGATGCTGGGCCAGTGACTTAACCTTCTGGCCACAGTTTTCCCGTCTGAGCCATGGATTGGGCTGCACGGGGTGTCCTCCACTTGGAGTTGGCTCAAGCAGCCGTGTGTCTCTCTGTGGTCCTGAATACCATTAGTAATTACTCACATGTAATTGAGTACTCGTTATGTGCCGGTGCTCTGCATAGATTATCTCATGAAATCTTCACAGCACTCCCAGGAAGCGGGTACTGTTATTATCATGCCAATTTTACACATGGGGAAACTGAGATGCAAGAGGTACTGCAGCTAGGAATTGCAGAGCTAGGATTCAAGCCCGGGGTGCCTCGCTCCAGGCCCCCACAGGAATCATTGTCCTCTTCTGTCTCTTGAGGTGTTCAGCCCCTGGTGAATGAAAGGCTGCACCTATTTCACAGATGAATAAATGGAGACATTTGGGATCAAGGGTCCCTGCTAGAAGGAATTTTGACCCAGACTTGGCTCCTCTGTTGTCAGAGCATAAATACCTCCTTGAAAACTGGGTTTTGGGGTGGTGGGGGGGACAAAGGAGGCAGTGTCCTTATGGGTCTGGGATCCTGGGCCCTTTCCCCTCACCCCCACAGCCAGACTTGGCCCCAGGGGAAACAGCAGACACAGGTCAGGTGTGTCCCATTTTCAGGGGAACCCTCTTCCCTGACTCCCTCATGTCCCAGGTACATCTCTATCCCAGGTGGGCCTGGGGATCTCAGGTGGAGGGTCCTGGGGAGGTGGCTGCAGGCAGAGGCCATGGGCGCTTGAGGCAGGCATGCCCACGAGCCCCTAATCCCCAGGGCAGCTGGGGAAGCAGCAGCTGACCTGAGAGTTGGGCCCTTGTGTGTGACTTTATTCATGTCCGTGTCTTCTCTGGATCTCATTCCTCACCGTGGAATGGGAGGCATGAGTTGAGTGGGGAAGGGTCTTCCCGGAGCTCTGCCCCTTTGGCCCAGCTCTCATGGCCCTGGCCACCTCCCCTAGGACAGCTCTGCTTCTCCGGTGCAAGGAGGGCAGTCGGGGTGAGGAGGTGTCTGGAGGGCAGGGGAAGATGCTGTCACCAGGCCTCTGCTTCCCCTCAGACCCAAGCCCAGAGCCGCTCAGAATGGGACCTTCAGGAAGGGAGCCGAGGTTCCTGGCTTTGGAAGCGACGACACAGCTCAGGAGGGCTCGCTCAGCCCCTGGGGCGCCTCCAGAGGCCAGCTGTGGGTAGTGCCTCAGACATGGCCAACTATCCCTCCATGGAGCTGGAGAGCCCAGCACTGGCAGCAGACCCCGCTGGTCCCAGGCACCCCTCATGCCCGGTGCCAGTGCCTGGGCATTTGGGACAGGAAACCCCAGACTGCACTTGCCTGCAACCCTCATACATGGCCCCAGAGGTCCCTCTGAATCCTGAGCCACCCAGCACCGTGGAAGACATGCCGCCCCGCCCAGCATCCTTTCCCAAGGCAGAAGGGGCAAAGGGCAAGCCTGCCACCCCAGGGCCAGCACTGCCAGAGCCAGTCCAGATCCTACCTGAGCGAACCTCTGCCAGGAAGACCCGCTACCACATCACTGTCATCCTGCAGGGGCGTGGGCTGACACCTGGGGAGGAGGGTGGGGAGCCCAAACCGGCCCAACCAGCTCTTCACCCCTTCTGCCCTGAGGAATTCAGGGCCTGGCTGGATCCTCCCCAGGGGCCCCGCCCCATCACGGGGTGCCCAATTGACCCGCCCCAGGAGCCCCAGCTAAGAGCCCCACGGCATCAGAAGAGCACGGTCAAGCAGCAGGAGATCCAGGCCCACTGGTCACCTGGGTCCCAACACACACGGTGAGTACAGGTCTGTCCCTATGTGGGGCGGCCGTGGGAGGAAAAACTAGCCTGGCTGCCCTTTTTGGGGTCTCTGCCTCACCTCCAGACTTCTTCAACTCCAGGCCCATTCATTCAGCTCCCTGAGCATGAGCTGAAACTGCCATCCCCTCCCCACTCACCTTGCCTTCCTCTCCCTCCCCTCACCCACAGCCTACCTCCTGAACCCACTGCTGCTCTCCTCCCCCCTCCATCTGAGGGGGGGAGATCCTTCATGAAGAGGCTGGGAGAGTGGTCACCTTCCCCTCAGCAACACCTACCACTCCCTGCTTCTGTTCAGGCGACCACAGAACCCACCTGGGAATAGGCACTAGCCAAGGTGCTGGGTGTCCTGGGGCAAATTGCTTAACCTCTCTGGTCCCTGAGTTGTCCAGTAGATTTGGTAGCTGGAGATGAGGTAGTTACAGGATCATGCTTTGAACTCCAGAGAGACACAGGCTGCCGAAATAGCAGGGATGCTTATTAATAACACCTCAGTCGCAGCAATAATTACCTACCAGGCTCTGTGTCAGCGGCCACAGGAACGGGCACTGAGATTCCCAAGCCTCGATTTTTATGTGTTTGGAAATGATTCTCCCAAATCTGCTTGGTGGGCTCAGAGGTGAAAGAGTGGGTTCCCTAAAACTCACCTGAGCAGGGGTGAATATGGCCCTGGGGCACTGGGTCTCACACGGGGCTCTGAGAAGTTCCTAATGTGGTGGCGGCTGTCATTTATGGTTTGTTTTCTAAGCATAATCCTGTTTCATCCTCACAACAGCCCCGTGGAGTAGGACTGTTCCTGCTCCACACCCCCATGCCCTGATTACAATAGGAAACTAAGGCTCAGAGAGGTTCTACCACTTGCTCAAAGTTCACTAGAAAGTGAGGGGCCTGAATTTGAATGCGGTGCCTGTGCTCTAATCATTGCTCTATCCTGCCTCTCACAGAGGCCTCGTTGGCCCTGTGCAGACGAGGGAAGGTTGAGTGTGGTTGCTGTGCGGATTCCAGGGTTTTCTCTGACCCTGTGGAGGTAGATCTGGCGGCATTGTGCCGGGATGTCCCGGCCTCTGGATGGGAGGCAGGTAACTGGTCCTGCGGCAAGGACGAGGGAGATGGGGGAGCATGGCTGGCTCAGATCTGCTCGGTGACCCAGCGGGGGAGAGGGCTGCCGAGTGAGGGAAGAGGTGGAGGAGTAGGCCTTGGAGAGAGGACAGAAGCAATAGGTTTAGCTGAGGGGGCTGGGGCCTTACCTGCTACTCCCCGGCTATTTCGGGTCCAGGTGGATAATGACAGACTCTGGCGGGAGGCTTGGGTTCCCTTAGAGAGGAGGAAGCGGACCTCCAGGGACATCCTCCTCCCATGTCCCCAGGGTTTCTGGGGCAGGATTGGCAAATATAGGGGTGGGGAGGCAGGACACAGTTGGGACTGCAAGTGGGAATGCCTATGCATTCAAGGTTGTGTGTCTGTGTTTGACCGTAGGCTGTGAATGGACTGTGTGTGTGCATTATGAATGTGTGCTTGTGCCATCGTGTCTGTGACTGGTGTGTTGCTGTGTCTCTTGAGTGTTTGTAGCTCTGACTGTGTGTTTGACTGTGTGTGTAAGTCAGCATACTAGTAAGTGTCTGTGTTTTTGTGCCTGTGCTACTCCCTGGGTCTGTGCCGGTGGCTGGCTGCGTGTCAGTGTGTGCCGGTGTGACGCAGCATGTGTTTGTGGGATGTGGGCCTGTAGACTGGTTTGGCCTAGTTTGGGGGTGACTCACAGTTAAGCGGGGAGAATCCAGGACTTGTTGGGTTAGACAAGGCTCTTTCCCACACTCCCCTCCGCCCCTTCCTCAGCCTCTCCCTTCTCAGCCCCACACCTTGTGTGGGGGTCACAGGTTACCCTGCCAACAAATTCACTTCTGAGATGGGATCCTGGAGAAGAGAGGGAACGGGCACTTCTGCTGGGCTGGGTCATTGAGGTGTGTCTTCAAAGCAAGGACAAAGAGGGGAGCTATATGCAGGCAGATTCCAGCATAGTGTGAGGAACATTCTAGCAGTCCTGGCTGTCCGGGGATTGGTCAGGTCAACTGTCAGATGGTGACCTCCCTCTCCCTAGAGGTGTGCAGGCAGAAGCGAATGACCGCATGCTTGTGGAATGAGTGTCTATCAGGGGTGTTGTCCAGGGGCTGGGCTGGGGTGAGAGAGGCATTGCATTCTGATTATTGGGAGGTCACTGACAATATCTAATTTGACTATCAATGGCTTCCTGTGAACCGGATTTCCTGTTGCTTTGCCAAAGCCTATGGGGCCTTCCAAATGTGGTTCCTGTTTTTATGGTAATTTGTTGACCCCTGGACTCCCTGGACTCTTCATGGGAAAGTTGGCTTTGGATGAACGGAATCAGGGACGAGGGCAGTGATGGCGAACCTTTTGAGCTCAGCGTGTCAGCATTTTGAAAAACCCTAACTGAACTCTGGTGCCGTGTCACATATAGAAGTTTTTTGATCTTTGCAACCATAGTAAAACAAAGACTTATATTTTTGATATTTATTTTATATATTTAAATGCCATTTAACAAAGAAAAATCAACCAAAAAAGTGAGTTCGTGTGTCGCCCCTGACACGCGTGTCATAGGTTCGCCATCACTGGACTAGGGCATCCCCTAGCACTTAGCATTGAATGAATGAATAAGTGAATGAGTGAATGAGCAAATAAATGACTTAGAACCCTGGCTTTGCCCCTTACTATTAATGCCATTAGGGACAGGGAATCTCAGCAAATAGCAGTTGCTATTATTGTTTTTCAGAAATGACTCAGGGTGAAGCTCCATGTGGGGGAAATCCCAGCAAGAACAGGGGTTCTGTTAGAAGAAAAGGGGCTCCTTAGTGAGAACGGGGGAGAGGGCCAGGGCCTCAGTGAAGGGCTAGGAATCCAGGGCCTAGGGTGTCTGATTGTGTCCTGCTCTCAGGAATTCTGCCTGGGGAAAGGATTGGGACTCCATCTCAGCCCACCACCTTTCCCATACACAAGGCTTTTCTGGGGCCACTCAGACCCTGTCTCGGGCCAGGCCACATGCTGTCATAGCTACCAGCGGTCCCTGAGTCAGGCCAGGCTTCCCTAGGCCTCAGCCCCTTTCATCTCTGCCCCTCATAAAACCTGAGTCACTGCTGGGGCCACAGGGCAGGGTCAAAGTTCTAGGTTCCACCAGCTTAGTAGAGAGGAAGATAGAGATGGGGGAGGGAAGCTGGGGGCATGGGTCCATTTCTGGTCTTAACTTCCTTTATAGTGGTCTAAGGGATGCCTAGTGAAGGGGAGGAGCGGACCCGAAGACAGGTTGGGCCTGAGGCTGGGGATGAACAGGTTGACTTCACTGGTCCTTGGGGCCTGAGAATAGGATTGCCCTGGTCAGCTGCCCTGGTCAGCTGCCCTGGTCAGCGTGACTTAGAAGTCAGAGTGGAGGCTGGATGGCCCCTCCAGGCCTGCTGTAACCCCCTTTAAAAGCACATTTCCAAACCATTGCATCTCAATTGGCCAGGTAAGTACATTAGAGAGTTTTGTATGGTGATTAAGCACCCAGGGCTGGCATTCAAGACTTGCCTCTGCTACTGTGTAACTCTGGGCAAGTTTCTTAACCCTCGTGAACGTTCCTCCTGCCCTCATCTGCTAAATGGGAATGTTTGCTCATAATTTATTAATACCGTACTCCTTAGGAGTTATCAAGTGCATGGAGTTCTTTTGAGGATTCCATAAGGCAATGGACGTAAAGGAGTTAGCAAGCTGTTTGGCACGGAGTAAGCCCTCAGCAGATGGCTGTTGTTGCTGTCACTATTAAAACAGGTTCACCAGAGAGTTCCTAGGGAGCTTAGAAGTCTCCTCAGACAGTTGTTATAATCACCCCCTATTTAATAAAGGAGGTAATGGAGACCCAGAGATCAAGGAGGTTCAGAGAAGAAATAAGACCTTAAAAGAGGGAAGGTAAGAGGTGCTCTGCGGGAGAGGACCGCAAGCACAGCTGGATGTGCTCAGAGCCTTGGCCTCAGGGCCAGGAGGGAAGATGCCTAGACATGGGCTTAGCTACGACTTCAAACCCCGGCTTGCAATTTTGCAGGAGCATCAACCTGGGCCAGTCACTCCTCTTCTCTGACCCTTGGTTTCTTCATTTGTATGATGGAGGAAACACTCATAGAGGAGAACATTGAGGGAAAGTGCATGCAAGTCCAAGTGCTGGGTCCCAAGGAATTTCCCTAAGACCCACAGATGTACCCAGAAGGTCACGCTGCATGCTGGTGCGAGTACACACATGCACACCTGCTAGTGTTTGCTCACAGTTCTCTCAGGGGACACCCCGAAGTTTGTGAGCCAGCATTTTAGTTTATAAGATGAGTTTTTGTTCTTTTTCTCTTATTTTATCCTGACAATAACCCTATGAAGCACATACTCTTATTTTATAACACTAGAGGCCTGCCGAAACCGGTTTGGCTCAGTGGATAGAGCCTCAGCCTGCGGACTGAAAGGTCCCAGGTTCGATTCCGGTCAAGGGCATGTACCTGGGTTGCAGGCACATCCCCAGTAGGAGATGTGCAGGAGGCAGCTGATCGATGTTTCTCTCTCATCGATGTTTCTAACTCTCTATCTCTCTCCCTTCCTCTCTGTAAAAAATCAATAAAATATATTTAAAAAAAAAAAATAACACTAGAGGCCTGATGCATGAAATTCGTGCAAGAGTAGGCCTTCCTTCTCCCGGCTGCCGGTACCGGCTTCCCTCTGGCACCCGGGACCAGGGCTTCCCTCTCAACCTCAGCTTCGTCTGGAAGGACATCTGGTCTGATTAGCATATTACACTTTTATTATTATAGATTTTGTGGCTTGGAGCCCTGATGCCTGAAGGGGAAGAGTGGCCACTTAGGTGATCTAGCTAGTGAGTGGCAGAGTCAGGGGAAACCCAGCTCTGCTCAAGGCCAAAGTCTCCCTTCCCTTCCCTTCCCTTCCCTTCCCTTCCCTTCCCTTCCCTTCCCTTCCCTTCCCTTCCCTTCCCTTCCCTTCCCTTCCCTTCTTCCCTTCCCTTCCCTTCCCTTCCCTGGCAGGAACAGGGTCAGAACAATTGCCTAGTTTTTAGCTTTCTGGTTTTCCAGTTTGGGGCTCCTGGAGGACTAGAGTCCCAGCCCCATCCATAGACCAGTGGGTCAGACCATATGCCTTTCTCTCCATCCAGGCTCAGGCCACAGCTTCACCCATGGAAGGACAGTGGTATAGGGGATCACCTGAAAGTGGGGAGAGGGCTGAGAGCATTATGCCCATTTTACAGATGAAGAAACAAAGGTCCAAAAGGTCACATGACTTGCCTGAGGGTACCCACCCTGATCTTGGCAGAGGTAGTTATTCTGTACTACAGGGAGCCACCCGCACACCCTTGACCCTGTTTCTCTTTTTCCTGGCACCATCTTCAGGGAGCTGGGCCACAGGGAGCCAAGGACACTTCAGGACAGATTGCTGGGGCCCAGCATGGAGGAGGCAGGTGGGCCCCCAGCTCGGGCCGAGGCCCGGGTGGTGAGTGCCAGGCTGACATGGCGACAGCGGCCCCCTGCCAAGGAAGAGGTGAGGCATCACTTTCACAAGGTGTCCCTGGTGTCGGAGGCCCGGATGGAAGCCCCCCAGGAGATGTTTGAGTACAGCCCCCGTGGAGACAAAGTCAATGGCTTCGCTGCGAGGAGAGAAGAGACTGTGAATCATCAAGCCCCCCCGGTTGGGGCTGGTTCCAAGAGCTGCCAGAGCCATGGGCCCATCTTTTCCAAGAAGTACACACTGCCCCCCAAGGAGAAAAGGCTGGTGAGGAGGCTGAAAGAGGCTGTGGACCAGTGTGATGGCAGCTCCCAAGACCCTAGGACTGAGCCACCACGCCTGGGAGCCATGGCCAGGACGGAGCTCTTGGTGCCCCTGCCGGGGCCCCGTGAGCCGAGCCCCCACCCATGTATGAACCGTGAGGAGCGGCAGGTGACACGCACTGTGCGGACCACTGTGGTGGTAGGCGGGCATGTGGACCGAAGGGTGACCAGCTCTGTGACCTTGGAGCCAGTGCTCCCGGGCGAGGTCCTGCCAAGGGGCCGCAATGCTGTCCGGGCAGTGGTGGTGGGCCACAGGCCTGAGGGCTCGCCCAGCCGCAGTCAGGCCCTGGAGCTGCTCAGTAGCCGGCTTCCCAGGCCCAGGGCTTCTGTGTCAAGGAGTCCAGGTCTGGGCAGTACAGAGGGCACAGCCCTGGGGCAGCTGCCTGCGATGGGGACAACAGAGCCAAAAGGCAGATCTGCCCTGGCCCCTGTAGGCATCCCTGAGGGTGCTCATCCACCTCAGAACCAAGAGGTCCCTGCAGCCCATCCAGACCCAGACCAGGGCCAAGCTCTGGATGCCAAGGCCCATAAGGTCCCAAGGGTGCAGGGAGCCTCCAA